CCGCCCGTTGGGCTCTAAACAGCCTCATTTTTGTGGCATGGGCTTACAAAGAGCCTTCTTTTGAGATTCCACTTTCTGATTGCTTCACATAACTTGTGCAGACATTCATCCTCTGAAAATCACAGTACAGTACATCCCAAAGTTGATTACTGGATTCAAACAGGACGGAAGCCAATGAAGTCCATTGAACTTGTCAAATATGCATAGTTGTGATTAAACTTTGATGAAGAGATGTATGCACATCATCAACAACAATCACAGGGTTAGGATTAGCTGAAGGCTTTTCAGGGAGTTTTTAGGACCTCCTGATAATAATGAATTACAGTCGTCCAGCCTGGAAGTAATAAATGCATGAACTAGTTTTTCAGCGTCACTCTGAGACAGGATATTTCTAACTTTAGAGATGTTGCACAAATGGAAGAACGCAGTCTTACATAAAGACCATCCAGGTCTTTATGTCTTTAAGACATTGTGCAGTGCAGCACAAGCAACACATCCTGGCCCCACAGATGAAGAAAGGGCACCCAGAGAGAAGGGCCCCGAACGCAGCACAACCCAGGCACCTTGGCCCACCCCCTAAGGTGCAAGAGGACCAGCTGCAAAAGGTGCCAACCTGAAGGCAGGGAGGACACCCCAGGACTGCAGCAGCCAGCACGATGCATGGAAAAGAGAACAGAAGGAAACGAGAAGGAGCCAGAGAGCCAACTTGGAAAGAACTGGCAGGATCTCTCTACTGGTTCTTATTCCCACCCAGAGCCAAGACAACACATGAAGAAGAGTCCCCTTACCTCAACATAGCAAACAACATAGGTACCCACCCCAACATAGCATACCACCCCCCACAGAGATGCCAGGCCACACACAGCAAACCTTCTGGCAATGCCATGTGTCATCCTGAAGGATTACCTGTAGGACCTCTACACGGTCCAGGTATCGCCTTATGCTCCCAGTATGGACACTGACCGAGCCAAATACAAACTAGTAAAGAACAGAAACAGAAAGGAACAAAAATCGAGTGCCTGCACCTGTAAAACCCACACTGGTCCTTAACTGACCACATCAACATCCCAGAACTGACCCTGATTAAAACTCATTTTTGGAGCAGTGCCTGTACCACACAGGTTAAATCATTTATTCAGTGGACATGATCAGCCTGCACCATTCCTCTCCTGCTGCCTTCTTGACCTTTATTTCTTCTTATGACTCCTTTATTTTACACTATTAATTTATTCTGTGTAAAACATTTTTCTTCTTCAGTGCCTTCATGTCCTGAAACACACACAGAAACAGTCTAGCAATTTCCTGCTCTATTTGAAGGTGTTTTTGTTTTCCACTCCCTGTTATCACATCAATGTCTTTGTATGTTAGCAAAAACTCACGTTCCATAGGTGGGGATGGGTGGAGGCGGAGGTGCAGCACGGAACGTGTTGTAGATGGCGCGGCCCCTGCCTCGCAAATGAGCCCCTCTGTAGGCAACAGCTGCTCCTGCACTGGGGTATGGAAAACCTGCCACTGACAGAGATACATACAATCATAGACTCAGTTAATCACTTTATTACATCCTGGAGCTTGATCTGAAATATGGCACACAATCTGAACATCTTACAGTATTCCCTGAAAACCTTTTGTCGGATCAATAACATTTAATTTTAGCATGAAGGGTTACACAGTCAGGAATAAATGTCTTTTGGAAAAGTGCTGTAACGGACTTTAAGGGTGTAATTGCTCTGCTGTTAGTTTCTTCAATGCCACGTGCCAACACAGAGCAGCTACTAATCTACTTCCAGAAAGGTTGAATATCTCTGTAACAGTTTTGCTTCCTCACTGTGTACGACCCCGGACTTCGGCTCCTCTGCAGAAGAAAGCAAGAAATCAGAAGTGCTTGTGTCCCCGGTAAAGCTCACAAACACAGAACTTAAGGAGGAAATTGAATCTCACTAATTTAAAAGATGTTTATTTAGCCTAGAGAAAGAGTTTGCTGTTCTATAAAAAGCTTTTCATAAAGCTAACAAATCTTGATGTTATTTAAAGCTATGTAAAAGTGTGTGTGTGTGTGTGTGTGTGTGTTGCAGAATATAAGTGGAGATGAGCTGAAGCAGATGGAGGACAAATTACAGGTGGAGCGAGACTACCACAATAAGAAGTAAGTCAGAGCCAAACTCTTCTGTAGAACCTCAATTTGAAATAACAGTGAGTCACCGTATCCTTTGCAGTCACAGTGTTTTTGTCAGCTGTGTTTTTAACCCTAACCAGCAGTAAAACGAGTAAAAAGCACCTATTGAGTTTAATGAAGTAATAAAGTTCTTATGATCCAATTGATCTTTCTGAGTTAACTTCACCAATTACTTCCTCCAAACCATCAACGTGACTTTTAGACCCCATTCCTACAAAGAGATCTGCTTCAATCTTAAACATTCAGTCCCTATTAATTGCCTACATACCACAGGCCTTTAAGGTGGCAGAAGATAAAGTGTTACTTAAAACTAAGGTTATTGTACTCGGCTCTAAAAATACTAGAAATGCAGTTTTTAACCAGATTCTTACTCTGGATGGCATTACCTTGGCCTCCAGTAACACTGTGAGGAACCTTGGAGTCATTTTTGACCAGGATATGTCCTTCAACGCACAT